GAGAACATGGTTTTTCTGCTCCCCAGATCCAACGTTTGGGCTTAGAAGAAGTTTCGGCTTCACACGACCTTCTTGGACTGCAGAGGCAGAGGGAGGAACGGTTGGATCGGATGAATGGTTGGGCGTGCACATTTTAAAGACAATGTTTTGTGGCGGTTCTTTCGTACTGTTGCTGTTGCCATTCAATACCACCGAGAGAACAAGTATTTTTGTCTTTCGGGAAGAATCAGCAAATTCTACGGTAGGTAGATTAAATAATTTTACTATCATATCCTGACCACGTGCCCAGAGTTTTTTTTTCACGGGAAAATACGAACAGAGAGAACATTTCCTTGAACTTCAGATAGGAATTATCTTTTCGCGCGGAAATATGTAACTGACAAAGAGATACGTCATAATCCCAGGATGACGTTGTTCTGTTCCCAGTTCAATTCAATGTTCGACAGCACCAAACGTTTTGGTTTTCGACATCATCAGTGCTGATATTGCAAAAAAATTACTCGGTAAATAACGTGAAAAAACATGGTGTAGGTCACCCCTGCTGAGCATTTAGTCGTCAAAGTTGCTTCTAGAGATCCTTCCATTGACGGTAGGTAGGTGTATACATTGATTTCGCAATCTTACAGCCCACAACCCACGAGTCACCAACACCATGGCTACTATTCAAGGAAAAAAAGGTGATGATCATCGGTATCCTCCGTTTCAATGTCTGGGGTTTCTACCTGCAGTAATGGTTGTACCACTGTGGATTACAATTGCCCTTCGAGAGAATGTCCTGTCCAACTCCTTCCGAGAATACTACCCCCTCAGCGTTGCCATGATCTTTGGCTCATTGATTGCTGGATCAACGCCTTTGGGCGGTGGGGTTGTCGCGTTCCCAGTTAGTGTGCTGTCAATTGGATTTAATCCTTCACAGGGACGAGATTTCAGCTTAATGATCCAGTCTTGTGGGATGACAGCAGCTAGTTTTTTGGTATTGATTACACGAACGCATGTAATTAGGGATAATGGAAGTGTGATTGCAAAGACTTGCGTTTTCAATGAAATTGGGCTAATATGCGGAACGTTTGTGACAGTACCCCCGTTTATTGTTATGTGCGTATATGTGACATCAGTTGCCTGTTTTGCCATTATTCTTGCATATGTCGAAAGATGTCCTCAGTTCAAGAGTGGAGTGTCGTTGCAGCAAGCAGCAAGGTCGGAATCACAAATCTCTGTAAATCTAGCTTCAGACGAAGGAGATGGAACCATATTGGACAAAGAGATTAGAAAACAACAGTCCCACAACCCATGTTTACAAGCAATAGATATGGAGATGATTCCGATTGCATTATTGGGTTTTATCGGAGGATTCCTATCTTCCAAGATTGGAACAGGTGCTGACATGACGTGGTATGTGTATGGATCACTAATTTACAACTCAAGACATGAGAGGAACATTATACCAGACAATGACTTGACGGCCTTGTCCATTATTGTGATGACAGTGACGAGTATTTTCGGAACCATTCTCAGAGTAACCTCTACTGGCAATGATGCAGTCACAGAAGATGTCTATCATGCGTTCATCGCCTGTGCCTGTATAGTCGTTCTCGGTGCTCCCCTGGGCTCCTTACTACTGTCAAAAAAACATCAGCGAGGATTAAAGATTTTTTTCTATTTTCTTGCAGCCCTACAACTTGTGATCTTCGGAATTATAAAGATACGCAACAATATCGTTGCTTGGTGCGCGGTAGGTGGATCTCTTTCTGTAGTCATCGCTGGAATTGCGATTTCAAATAGGCTCTTCAGAGAGATATGAGAGGCTGAATAAAAATAAAAATCAAAGATTGACAAAATTCCTTTAACTTATTATGTCCTTTTCTCTGAAGCTGCTCATCAACGGGAATGTGCCCAAGTCTCAGAGGTTCTAATCGGGAAAAAAGATTTAACCCGAGTACCCGGAATCATATCCACATGAGCTCTTTCTTTGCTTCGTTTTAATTGCTCTATGAAATTTCAACCTCATTGCTTTGGAAGTTATCGACATCGTAGCTCGATGGGTCGAAACCGTTCGCTCTTTACGAAACATCGAGACCAACAGACAACGAAAAAGATGAGATGAGTAAAAAGGGAAATAAAAAAATTGCCAAATTGAAACAGCTGAAAATATTGGACTGGTAACTTACCTTTTGTTCATTCGCATAGCTTCCCTTGAAGTAGTACCGTGACCTTCCGAGAGGTGCCGTCGATGCTTCATTTTTCTCTTTGTATCAACTTCTTCTTTGCATAGACTGAGGAGGGCGAGAGTCGGTTGTCGGGCTTTAATCTCTTGGTGATTTCCTCGGGCAGAGATCCCTGGTTGGTGCGTGACAAAACAGCTTTTGGATAAGCTGTCAACAGTTTCTCAATGACAGGTGCCGACGCCCCAGCAAAACAAGCCGCATGAATCAGAAGATTGCCCAAATCATCTGGAATCCTGGAAATTCTACGGTCTACTGCCAATAAGGCATCTATGGTTTCTTTCGGTGCTAGCTGTTGTGCTAGCTGTTGTGTTAATATCTAGTAGATATATTTGTACTGAGTACAATATTGCTATTGCTGATACTACTAGTGATGCTGAGCTAGCTCCAAAGCAAGCTGCAAAGCAAGCTGCAAAGC